TTCAGTGCTTTAGCCACAAAGTGGGTCTTTAAATGTTTAAAGAAGGGTGCCTGGGTGGCTCAGTGGGTTAGGCCTCTGCCTACAGCTCAGGTCATGATCTCAGGGTCCTGGGATTGAGCCCCATATCGGGCTCTCTGCTCAGCAGGGAACCTGCTTCCTCCTCTCTCTCTGCCTCCTCATGACCTGTCTGTCAAATAAATAAATAAATAAAATCTTTTAAAAATAAATAAATAAATGTTTAAAGAGAACCTTCTCATCACCTTCCTGAAAGTGCTGTGAAGTTCATATTTCCGTGATGAAGAAGAAAGCGTTAAAAGCAATACAAATAAGGATGTTGGTGATGTAATGATTATTACAATGGTATGAAATGATTCTTTCTTCAGTTACTCAGAAGGTTATTCTGTGTCCTGTGGTGCCTAAGCGACTTCTTTATTAGGAACTTCAGCTATTCCCCACATAATACTGCAAAATCCTTTAACAGAACAAGTGTATGAGGGGTGAAATTCTATCAACTTTGACAAAAGACTGAGTACTAATTGTGTAAAATTGTGCACTTAATTCACCTACTTTGAACTTTAGTTCTTTCATCATCAAACTGAAAATTATAATACCTACCTCTCAGGTTTGTTATGGGGATTAAAGAAGAAATGTAAACCACTTGCTACGGTATTTGGCACCTAGTTGGGACACAATAGAAGCTAAGTTTCTGTTGTCACATAATTGCAATTCTTTCATGTAATGATATAATCACTCTCAAAAGGAGCATTTTCAACATTTAATCAACAAATACGATCTTTTCTTAGTAGCTGCAATTGCTGAACGAGGTGCCTAGTATCCACAGAGAAAAAGAAAAGCATCTGTTCCCAAGGAACACTGAGCGGAAAGCATAAAGTAACAGCACTATGTGACAAGCTAACGGGACAGAATGGGCGGTGGGGTTGGAGGCCCCGGCTTAAAAGTCTGTTTAGGTGAGTGATGGAGGACTTCCTTGAGGTTATGTGCTTCATGGGGAAGGAGTAGGAGTTGGTCAGGTAGAAGGCAAACAGGTGGGGAAGGACACAGAAGTGTAAGGAAGGAAGCACGTTTTCTATAATGAAGGAGCTATTTTCGGTACTGCTGGAACAGTAAGTATGTATGTATGTATGTATGTATGTATAAATAAGCTTTAGCAAAGGAGGAGGGACAGGTGATTGTGACGTCAGGTGGGTTTTCGAGATTGATTTATCTTGCCAGAGATGGGGAGCCACTGAAGGATTTTGGGCAGGGCGATAGAGCAAAAGGTTGGTAAATGGGAAGAAATGGGAGAATGAGGCTGCTGGGATTCCTGAGAGCGGAAGAGAGCCCTGACTGGCTAAAGGCCACGCCCACCCCCACCCCCGTCATTCAGTCATTCAAATAGTTACTGAGGACCTGCAAGGTACCAGGCAGAATTCCAGGAGCTGGAAGTCACTCAGTGAGCAGGACTGGAAAGGTCTCTGTTCGAATGGCAGAAACTGATAGTAGATACACAAGTGAGCAAGCAAGGAAGTATCAGATTAGTGCTTCTTGGAAAATTAAACCAGGTGATAAAAGAGTCCCTGAGGCACTGTTCCTCCTCCCCGCCCCCGTCCACGTGAATATTCACCGAGCCTTCTCTAGATCTAACTTTGGTTTCCCAAAGAGGCTTTGCTCCTGGGGGGCGGGGGGGGGGCGCGGAATCTCTAGGGTAAATAATTAACTCAGCTCTCTGGGTGCTTCCAGTAAGCCTTGCCTGCGTGGGGATAGTCACACCTAAGTCTTCTCCAGGGCCTGGTCAGTTTGTAATCCTTGCTTCGAGACCCCCGATTCTGCAACACCTCCTATATCTATATATCTATATATCTATATATCTATATATCTATATATCTATATATCTATATATCTATATATCTATATCTTTTAGAAGGGAAACATTTGATAGCGTGGTCGAAATCATCTACTCCTCTCTGAAAGGTGCAAACTTTGAAAACACAACCGCCGCTTCTGCCAGGAGCGCCTCCATTCCCCGCCCGAGCCTCGGGGCGGGGGTGGGAGGGAGCTGGTTGGGGAATCCTCGGGGCGGAGGTCCCTAGGGCGGGATCTGGACCACTAGGGCTCTAAGCGTATCAGAGCTCCTCAGCGCCAAAGGTTTGCGAGCCAAGAACAAAAAACCAAACGTTGTAATATGTAGCGAAGAGATTAGGGACAGAGAAAGAGGATTTCCCAGTGTGCATCCATGGTCTTCCCCGAGTTTGACACATTTACTCACCAGGAAGGTTTTTTTTTTTTCCAAAAAGTTTTTTTTGTTTGTTTGTTTTTTGTTTTGTTTGAATTACGAAAAGTTTCAGAGACACAGGAAAGTTCTCTCTCTAGTTTTAGGGAAATCTAGTGAAAGCCCCAGGAGGGCCTTTCTGATTTTTGCCCAGCTTCTCTGGACTGTTTGATAGTCATAGTTCACCCTCTGGGGACTTTAGCAGTCAGTGATGACTAAATTAGGGCCCCTGCTCTGAGAAGTTTTTAATTCTGGTTGGGAGGAGAAAACGCTAAGGAAAATCATCTTCTCCTTCTTGTTCTTCTTCTTCTCCTTCTCCTTCTTCTAGCAGTTTACAGGTCAGGTGTTTTTACATTCCTAATGCCGTTAAAATGATAAACTCAAAGCCCAAAGGAAATTTAGAGATTACCTGGGGGTTGCAGGGGAGAGGCAAATACCTGACATATACCCACCACTTTCTATGGTCCTGCCCATGGTAGACATTGCTAATCGATCACTCATTCATTATTATCATTTATTGGCCATCCTCCAAGTTCCACACCTTATGTCAGGAATACAGCAAGAAACCATACAGACTTGTTTGCTACCCTTATGGACCTCCAAGGGGGAGAGAGACATTAAACAAATAATTACATGCATGGAAAGTGTTTTAAAAAGGCAGAGTGTGAGGGCAGACAAGGGCATCACATATCTGGAGGTAACCTGGGGGTGGAGTAGGGTCAGGAAAGGCCTCCCTGAGGAAGTGATGTATAAGCTGAGGTCTAGAGGGTAAGGAAACTGAGTCTCTCCGAGGGTGGAAAAAGAAGCATTACATGCTGTTTATGGAAGGCGACATGGGTCACCGCATGCTCCATGGCTAAATGAGAGGGTATGGATACTAAATGGGGGGATAGTTGTCTGGAGAGAACCAGAGGTTGGTTTAGCCAGGCCTTGGAAGAAGAACCGGAGAGGGCTGGAAGGTCAGATTGAGCAAAGGTCTGATTTATTGTTTATCCACTCCCTTCCTAGTGTAGTATGCCCTCAGGGGCTAGTAAAAAAAAAAAAGTCTTTATAAATTATTGGCTATCTACTAAGAAGTGGCAATTCTCCTGACTTCTCCCATGTTTCTTGTAAAATAAGTATAATTTTTCCAGTTTTACAGATTAAAAAAAAAAAGGGGGGGAGGGAAGCCTGGAAAGACTACAGACACTTGATGAAGTTGGCCATCAAGTAGGCAACAGAGCTAGGATTTGAGCAGCTGCACTTTCCACAACTCTTCACTGTCCTAAAATTTCCAGACTGGGGGTTGCTCTAAAAGCAATCAAATAAAACTTGGAAAGGGACAGAGAGCTTTAATTTCAAAATATTACCGGGGGAAAGGGTGGGCAGAGATGCCCCAGGCGACTGAACGTCAAGCCGCAGGGGAGCGTGTGGAAGAAAGCGAGGGGTGGCAGAGGGAGAGTGGGGAGGAGAGGGGGAGTCCGAAGGCTTGAGAAGTGCGTCCATGACTGCTCTGCGGGGAGTTGCCCTGCTCTAACCACTACCCGGCCGGGTTAATCATTTCCTGACCTTCCTTCCCCCTTTCTCCCTGCCCGCAGGATTGCCACATCAGCCTCCCCCTTCCCCCTGCTCGCCTCCTGGCCCTCCAGCTCCCTCGCCGGGTTTTACAAGAAGCCCCAACTTTGAGGCAATATTGGTAATAGCCCCTGACGTCCTCAAGGCGGTTCCCCAGAGAGATCGAAGGCTAGCTGGGGCGGGGTGGGGGGCGGTTATGCCTCCCCAAGCGGTCCCTTAAGGGTTGCACTGTCCCCTTTTCAATAAAGAGGTCAAAGAGCCTGGGATCCAGTCCCCGCACGGATTAACCAATTACAAACTCAGTTTCCCTCAGGCCAAAAAGAGTACGGCAACAGCAGCTGGCAGTGTGGTGCAAGGTTTAAATGAGATATTGTGTGTAAAGTGCTTGGCTAGAAGACAATAGTGGGTTTTTAACACATGTTGAATCCCTTCCCTTTTTATCACCTGGTAATTCGGACTTCGCGCTCAGCAAACCTCCGCTCATAAATATCTCACTTGAACCTCCACTGGTGAGTGAGGTCTGAAAAGTCCAACCACGTGCTCCACGTACCTCGGTGAGTCATAGTGAAAAGATTTGATCCCAGATTCATGGGCGCCCCCGAGGGCCCACCCACATAGTACCCAGGTGGCTGGCTGAAGGCCGCCTTTTTAGGACCTATAAGTGGGTCAGTATCGCACCTGGCGCAGGGAGCCTAACACTAAATCGGGACTGCTCTCGGACCGAGGAAGCCCGCTGGGCCACCGGGAGCCGGTACTTAACCTCTCTGAGCTTATGTTTCGTGTGTAAAATGGGACCTTTAGTGCCTGTTTGCCCGAGTGATTTTATTTTCTTTTTCACACTTTCATGAGTGGCTAGATTTTCTACCACAGTGTCGTCAGACCACAACACACGCAGGATCAGTCTTCTCTGAGAGCGCTCCTTCCGCCACGGTAAATGCAGCGGACCTGCCCCGCGTGCCGGGGCTTGGCGCCCCACCCTTACCGGTGGGGTAGAGGGGGTGGAGGGAGAAGCCGCGGTCGCCCCGCGCGGCGGAGTTGGGGAGTCATTCGGTAACGCAGCCTGAATCTCTGGGCCACCCGCCCGCAAGCTCCGGGACCCCACCCGGCGGGAGTGGGCGGGGACGGGGCCTGTCTGGGGGCGGGGCCTGTCTGGGGGCGGGGCGGGGCCGGCCTGGGAAGACGGAAGCCCTCCGCCTGGGGGTGGCGGTAGAACCCGGATCCCAGAATTCCACGTTCTTCGGAGCGGGGCTTCTGGAGACGGCGGGTGGGAAAACCCGGCGCCCGGAAGCCTTTGCTTTCTTTGACGCAAGGGCTCGGGACGCAGCCGCCGTCGGCTGAGCGCCCGGCGAGGAGCGACCCCAGACGGAGCCTTCGGAGCCCCTCCGCCCACAAGTCTCCAGGTCCCCGAGCCTCGGTCTTCCTCGCCGCCCTACTCGTGGCCATGGAGTGTCCGCACCTCAGCTCCAGCGTCTGCATCGCTCCGGACTCAGCCAAGTTCCCCAACGGCTCCCCGTCGTCCTGGTGTTGCAGCGGTGAGTGCGGCCCCGGGGCGGCCCTGCCGCGCACCCGAGGCCCCGGCCTCGCCGGGCCTGCCGTCTAGGGGCCGCGGGCGGGCGGCGCGCGGACCGGGGAAGGGGTGAGGGCGAGCCGGGCCCGGAGGCTGGAGAGGGGTACGCGGTGAGGCGGGCTCGGGCGGGCGCGGCGGGTGGAGCGGCGGCGGCTCCTTTGTTTCCCGCGGCCCGACGGCCCGGCCGGCTGTGGAGAGGCCCGAGAGGGGCGGGAGCCAGCGAGGGCCACGAGCGCGTGGGGGCAGCGGCGGGCGGGGATCCTGGCAGGCAGCCTGCCCCCCCGCCCCGCCCTGCTGGGGGTCTGTGCTCAGCCCGAGTGCGGGGCTATGGGGGCGGGTATCCGGCCCCCACGATGCGGCCGCACGTGTGGCGGGGCCCGGCTTGAGTCCCTCCTCAGACTGAGGAGAAAAGCGCCGCTCTCCCGGCGCAGCTTTGTCTCGGCTGCGGGGCGCGCTGAGCCCCTTCGCCGCTTCCTCGGGCCCGCTTCCTTTCGTTTCCCTTCGCTTCCCGGCAGGCTCGGGCAACTCGATCCACGCCAGGTGGGAGCCCTCAGCCCCGAGAGGCGCTCGGAATTCGGAACTTGGGCGGCGGAGGTCGGAGTCTTTCATCAGCCAGGGAGGGTGAAGTTTGAAAACAGGCTGCAGGCTAAAAAGCTCTGGAGGCTGAGCCAGCAGCTGGTTTGGAGGGACGGCTCGAGTTCCCGTTCAGATGTTTTGGGTTGTCTGAAATTGGGTTAGGATTCCCAGGTTCATGTGCTGTAGAACAACTATTAGGTTTATGTAATGCTTTTGCGTTACTTCAGCATCTTAACTCCTTTGGCTGGGCTCTTTGGAAGCCCTAATGCCCTCTTATTGTCTGCTCTAGCGACTTAGGATCGCACCAGCCACACAGCTTTGATTACTTCCTGGTAGGGCCCTGGTGCCGCCGCTAGAGTCTTTGTTTATTAGCTTTGAGATGATCAATGGTAGCTTGAGGTGTAGTGTAAAATTTGAATTGTGCATTTCAAAAACCTTAAGTTCATTTGAAGAAATAAAGGAGAAGAGCGATGGTACCGATTTAGGTGTGTGACATTTTTCGTTGCGGTTTGGAGCTGGGGAGGTAGTTTGGAGAATGCCTTAACACTTTTGACAGGTTACTTCTTAAATGGTGATTATGTCCTTGGAGAGAAACATCGGCAGCGCCACGAAGAAACAAGTATTCTACGGTTAGAAATAGGAATAACTGCAGTTTTTTTGGAGCTCTCAAAGGTTTGATGCTTTGCTTGGCTTTGTGAAGTCAGATTATCTTTTTCTGCGTGAAGCCTTTAAAGATTAACTGGTTAATTGGTTTTACAGTGCAGTATTGCAATTTTTTTAAGAAGGTGCAGAAACCTGTATAAATTAGCTCTCACCTAAGAATTTATCTTCCACAGTGAACGTTGAGTATGGAAAAACAAATAAGGTGTATCAAATTGCTTTTCAAATTGATTGGGGGTGTCTTAGCTATAATTGTAGCTATAGCTATGGTGCTAAAACTGTAACTTTTAATTTTTTTTCCCCAAGAGATTTAAAAAAACAAATGACTGAAGTAAACACTAGGAAGAGCATATCTCATGAGGAATGATGCTCTTGCTTATCTGTATACTTCAGGGATACTAAGGGGACAGCGCACTACTGGCTTTAGGTAAACTCACATCAGATTTAAAGATGGCCTCACTGGACACAAGCATCTAAAAAAGGAAGAGAGTTTATGCAAGTGGCAGATATCCTGTTGTGAGTCAATCTTGCCTTTGTCAGTCAGGGAGTCCACTTGACTTGTGGAAAAGAGTGCAGAAAACTGAGTATCTCTTGAGGAACTTAAAGTAAAATGGAACATAACTAAGAGACTTTTGCTGATAGCAACAGCAAACTAGTATTTCCAACGGTGAGATTCAGGTCATTTCTCTCCCAGGAGAAGGATGGCGTCTTTGCATCTTACAACAAAGTTTTTTTCTGACATTGGTGTACAAGGGTGGTTAGTCATGTGGTTGGATTTGTAGAACCAATAAAGCTCGTTTAACAACTTTATGTGGCTTTTTTTCTTCTGTCCATATTTTGTGAATTGAACCCATTTCATGTGGGCTCCCATTTTACCCTCTTGGCATCCATTCTTGATATAATCTCATATTGAGCTTGATCTTGTTCTTGCCTGCCTGTTTCAGTGATTAAATGATTAGTAAATTTGTGAGCTCTTAACTAATTCATCATTTTGGAGTAATATGTATTCTGGCGTTTATTTCCTAACACTCTTGAATTTCTTTTCTTTTTTCCTTTCCTTTTTTTTCCTTTCTTTTCTTTCTTTCTTTCTTTCTTTTCTTTTCTTTTTTTTTTTTTTTGGAGTAGTGGACCAAAAGGGTAGCCTTTGTGTTGAATAAAGCTGTGACCGGGTATTGAGTCTGATTACGTTCTTATTAAGGAGGGAAGAAAAAAAAAATCCCTGTTTTGGCAGTAGGACAATAAAAGTAATGCCCTTGCCTTGTTTTCTTTGGGAGCCTGCAATTACACCACGGTGAAACAGCCTTAAGGCAAACAAGCAAATCGCAAAAGGCCAACATCCTAGGCTCTCCTAGCTAGCAATATATCCTTGGACAAGTAGTTCTTTTTCTTTTGAGCATCAGTTTCTTATGTCATCTGTAAAAAAAAAAAAAAGAGTAGTACTTCACATTTACTTCACAGGTTGCTGCTAAGATGAACAAAGTAATTTTTTTGTGAAGATGTTGGGAAACTCTTGTAACACTATGGAAGTAATAGGTGGCATTACAGGCCAGAACATTTTTATAAATAGGACTCCTCATACTTAAATATCTAAAGGCCCTTAAATAGGGCCTAGGACAGACTGGCTTTATGCCGAATTATGCTTGCAAGGAGATATATTACTCAACAAGATTAGGGGGTGTAAGAAGTAATTATACTTCAGGATTGACTTGAGCTTCTTATCTATGGAAGGCACTGTGTGTTAGGTTATGTAATTGTGTATTGCATTGTTTCTCAAGCTTTTTGTTCTCAGGACCCTTTTATACCTAAAACTTATTGAGAACTCAACCTTTGTATGGCTTATATCTATTGATATTTGCTGTACTAGAATGAAAACAAAAATTTTAAATGTATTTTATTAAATCATTTACAAATAACAGTAATTAACCTGTTACCTGTTAATAGAGATAGTGGTTTATAGAAAATCACTGTACTTTCCAAAACAAAAATTTTATGAGGAGAGTGGCATTATTTTACATTTCTGCAACTCTGTTGTTTAGCTTAATAGGAAACAGCTGCATTTTTATATCTTCTTCTGCATTTAGTCTCTTGAGGTATCATACATCATGTAGACTCTGGAAAACTCCACTGCACCCTTGTAAGAGAATGAAGGTGAACAATATAAGTAACATCTTAATATTCATGAAAATGTTTGACTACACATACTGCCCCCGACAGGGTTTTGGAAACTCTTAGGTGTCCAGGCCCACATCTGTAATAGCAGTGAAGGATAACTGCTCTAATTAAAATAGCTTTAAAAAATTAGAGAAATCCTAAAGGCTAGCAACATGTATGTCTTTGTAGAGGCAGAGTTTTTTAAAATACATTAGCTGGGAACAGATCTAGTTCTGTTGGGGTCATCATCCCATCCTCTCAAAAAAGTTACAGTCTAGAGGTACCTGGGTGGCTCAGTGGGTTAAAGTCTCTGCCTTCTTCGGCTCAGGTCTAATCCTAGGGTCCTGGGCTTTCTGCTCAGCAGGGAGCCTGCTTCCTCCCTCTCCCTCTGCCTGCCTCTCTGCCTACTTGTGATCTCTGTCTGTCAAATAAATAAATAAAATCTTTAAAAAAGATTTTAAAAAAAGTTACAGTCTAATCTAGTTGGTGAGAGACAGGAAGCTAACAGGTTAGTAGATAAATCCATGTTGTGGTTTAAGGTAAATGTTGAAAATAGCAATTTCCTAATAAGGTAAAACTGATTTATGTCTAATCTTTGCTAAAGGCATTCTCATTTTAAGTGAAAAATTTTAACTAAAAACTGGGACATTCTTTCAAGAGTTTTGTTATGTGCACATACCAGATGTTATTTTCAGAAGCTGGAGACTTGGGCATTTCTTATTTTTGTGGGTAGGAGGACTGAACCAGTGGTAAAATACAGGGGAAAGAACACAAATTGTTTAAAATGATGCCCTAAACACAACTGTTTTAATAACTAAAGAAAGCCAAAGAATAAGCATTTGGACCTCAGGGGTTTGTGTGAAATAAAATAGCCGATTAAATTGGAGATATTTTAATAGCATAGGCATGAGAATTTTCCCTGATTAATTCTTCGAAGAGCTGAGAATGCCTCTTTAATTTTCCAGTAAACAGTTGCCCTCACATTATTCTACCCAGGAAAAGTAAATATAAAAGAAGTAAATGTTCTGCAGTTTGGGGTGGATATTAGAGATAATCCTGCCTTTTTTTTTTTTTTTTGATGCTCCATTTAGTAAGCTGAGGGGCTATTGATCCTTGCCATTGGTAATACATGTGTAATTTGTAGAAAAGCTTGTGATAAAGGTGAGAAATTACCTTGATCCAGTGGTAGGTTATTTTGTATCCTATTTCTCTCACAACCCTCCATCTAAAAAAGACTCTTGACCAGTAGATTACATTTTCTAAATAGGATCAGTTATTTGTTCATCCTTAGGTCACATGCATTTACTGCTTTTTGGTAGCACTGTTTGAGGTATTTATTAGGTGCTTAGCATGTAACAAGACACTCAGTAAATATTTGCTTAATGAATGAAGGAACTTTTCTTCCATTTAGATCATGGCTGGAATGGCCTTAAACTTCCATGCTGAAAATAAACACAGAGTTAACTTTCCCGTAGAATGCTTTCACCAGTCCTTTCTCCCAGTATTTTCCTCGGTAACATAAACTTTGACTGGATTATGAGCAAGTGGCCTTCTGCAATGTTACCACAATGAAACTGA